CCTCTTGGCGCCAAAATTCAATCGCGGCGGGCGGCGCGGCGGTGAGGTACTGGGGCGCGTGTGCTCGGCTGGTTCCAGCGTCAGAGCAGCCAACGAGGGCTCGCTCGGCGGGGACTAAGCGGCGTGGCGGGGGGGAAAGTCGCGGCGCCGTCGGCGGAGACGTGGGGTCAGGCGCCACGGCGGCTGCGGTAGGGGTTGGGGACGGGTCTGTGCTCACGGCGCCTCAGGGCCGAGGCTGGCGTTTTTCTGGGCTTCAGCCCTTCGGTGTGCTGGGGCTGGGCAGGCTGGGAAGGAAGACTCTCCTTCTGCCGGGTTCTGAAAGATCTGGGCCTTTCTGTTTCCCTCGTTGGCTGATGGACTAGAGGGCAGCTTTGTGAGAAATCAGAGTTATGCCATAGTCTTCAGGCAAATGTGATATGCACTCTGTAAAGTCACGTCGCTTAGAAATGTTGAAGCATAGGTTATTGCTCGGATGCTTCCTGGATCTGGGGTCTGCTTGGAATTTTCCGTTTATAAATACATAATCTTTTTGTTGTGAAATTCACACGTTCTTTCTATTTTCTTATACATCTAGCTGTTTATTTGGTATGCAGTATGATTAGTTTGATGCTTATTTTTTTCTTTGAAAAATATAGGATTTTAATCCAGATACCTTTCTTCATACTCTTGGGAGGAATACTTTGCCTGGTCCCTTAGGAATACAGAGAGGATGTATATCAAGTCAATTGTTATTGAAGGATTTAAATCCTATGCTCAGAGGACGGAAATTGTTGACTTGGACCCATATTTCAATGCTGTTACTGGTTTGAATGGCAGTGGCAAGTCCAATATCTTGGATGCAATCTGCTTCCTGTTGGGAATCACCAATCTGTCACAGGTAAAGAGAGAGGGGGCATTTAAGAAGGGTGTTCTGTCAGCAACATTTCGTATTACTCTTGAGTAATCTCTGATGGAAGACCTGAAGTGATGCTTCTATAAAAAAAAAAGTTTTATTTATTTGGATTTTTCATTACATAAATGTGTGTCTCTGTCATCCTTGTATTACGATAAAACTGCAGTTTCATCAATATACTATGGTAGTTTAGAATATTACACTAAACATATCCCGTTGAAAGATCTCCAGATGAAGATCTATTGCAGCTAAAGGCTCTAACTTTTTTATGTGTAATAAACTTTTTCATTTCTGGATTGGGTCTTAAAATTTGGCCAACTGGTTCATCAGAAAAAAATAAAAAGCTGGTTTTCATGCAATGCCTGCTATTTAAAATATATCTGCTTTACCCTTACTAAAAAAAATTGTGTGCTCTGGCATCAGTTTGAGTCTCTGTCTTCATGTGATATTCTTTTTTTCTTTATCCCACTCCTCCTGGTTGTAGACAAATCCATCAGACTTCCAAGGAATACTCTGATTCATTTCCCTGTGAGCTATAATGAGCTATATGAATAATAAATGCATTTTTAGTAAATGTATTGATGACTTAGCTAGTGATCTGGCTTTTTTAAAAAAAACATATATTTAGTTTTTGTCAGGAATCTCATGCAGAAACAATTAGCTGGCTTGCTAAAACTACACCAGCACATTCTGCATGTGGTTTTATGGTGCTAGCACCTTGCAGGTCTTGTATGTCAGTCTGTTACGTGAACTCTTAAATCTATAGCTAGATCTGCATTTTCTTCATTCATTTCTCCAATCTAGAGTAGTGCACTGAAACTGTATAATGAATTTCTTTCAAAAATGTATTTACCTGTTCTATGGATTTAGGTGCGAGCTTCCAACTTTCAAGAACTGGTTTATAAACATGGACAAGCTGGAATTAAGAAAGCATCTGTGTCTATTACCTTTGATAATACTGACAAGAAAGTAAGTCCACTGGGATTTGAAGATAATGATGAGCTCATCATCAGTAGGCAGGTGAGTTTTTAATATCTGTATTGCTTAGTAGCCTATATACGTTTTTACCATGTTCAAGAGAGTACTTTTCAAGGAAAAAAAAAAGAAAACTTTTAAAGTCTCTGCATTTTTGCTATTGAAGCAATGCTTCTAAGTGTAGTTAGTGACACAAAATGTCGAAGTCGATCCAGGGTACTAGATTTAAAAAATTGGAATTACTTGAGAAATCAGTCTAATATTGTTAAATATATCAATAATGTTTCCTATGGATTTGCATAGAAACATAATAATAATGAAAGTTTCTAAAGCAAGTTACAATTTTGTATTTTATGGCTTTTTCTTATGCTTTCATGTTTTCCTCTTGATATCTGAACTATATTTGGTCTCCAAGGACAAAGAAACCTTTATCTTTCTGATGAAGATGTCTCCCAAGTTGTTGGGGGTTTTTTTTGGAAAAAAAGGGGAAAAGTGGAAATCTGTGGAGTCTGGAAATTTTCCTATCACTATTGCCCTCAATGACTGATCTTTCTTACAGTTTAGTTATTTTAAATGTCTCTTCAGTCCATCAAGATGCGTTTAGATGTTCTGTAGAATATGCATAATGTGTATATGCAAAGATACAATGTATGGGTTTTGCTCAGATATATTATTCTTTATTAGAGTTTATTACAGTTTATATTCTTAATGTCAGATTTCTTTCATTTCTCTTCTTTTCCAGATTATCATTGGAGGTAAAAATAAGTATCTTATCAATGGCATGAATTCTACCGCCACTCGCGTGGATGATCTTTTCTGTTCTGTTGGACTCAATGTCAATAACCCTCACTTCCTCATTATGCAGGTATTGTGTGCATCTTTACAAAATCCAAAAAGATCAGAAGTTGCACTAAATTTGAGGCAGGATAGATAGTGAAAGAACACTTAATTTCCTAATTATCAAAAAGCAACTTCTAAAAAAGTAAAAATCAATTAAGTAAAAAATAAAGAAATAGTTAAGACTTCCAATACATCATAGTTTGACCTTTAAACATATATCTTGTTGTGTAAGACCTCATGTAGCCTATAGCAAGCTTTTTCTAAAACATATTCCAATTTTATTTTCCACGTTTCTTTAACAGATAGGTGTTGCTTTTATGATTGTGCTGAAGAGATAGATTTTCTTTCCTATTGTGTATTCCATGTTAGACAATATTTTGAATGAAGTTGATGTACCTGCCTTCCTAAGTCACAATTAACAAAGGAAGAGCTGACCAATTGAAAAGACCCTTATAAACATCAACACAGGGGCTAGACAAATCTCTGAAATACTTGCAAGAACAGAGCAGGATTTACTGTTTAAAATGGAACTGTCCTATTGTCCTGGTTCAGCCAGGATAGAGTAAAGTTTTCCCCAGCAGAGAGAGAGGGGGAAGGGATCTCCAGCCGGGTTATTCATACCATGCTGACGTCAGGTCCAGGGGCGGAGCCTTTTCCTTACTCCTTGGCGGGTTCAGGAGGGAATTTTGCTTTCCGTAAACCAGCTAGCAGTATTTCTCTGTATATCGTTTGTCTTGTTCACTGTTATTGCTGTTTATTGTTGTTACCATTGATACTGTTGTTACTCAGATTGTTCTATCACTCTGTTGTGTTAAATTTCTTGTTATTTCAGCCGGGGTCTGTGTCTTAACTTTCAGCCCGACCGGCGCAGGTGGGGGAGGGGCAACAGCAACGCGCTCTCCAATTCTGGCAGGGCTTAAACCTGCACACAAATGGAGGAAGTAGTGGGGAAGGGCAGTTTTGTACCTATTTTTCCTTCTAGTTACATATGAGCTAAATCTCCCAAAAGCCAGTTTATGATTAAGAGCTTATTCAGCATCAGTAACTTGGTAAGCCTCTAGAACAAAATATGCATGTTAGTCCTTTAAGATTGAATCAGGGATGTGGAGGATGAGCCTAAAATAAGATCCGAGGGCCATTTCATGCTGTCTGAAGAAATGACTTGTTTGAACTATCGGGAGCGAAACAATTAAGTTAGATTATTTTTGTAGCAAAAAACCCCAACTGTTTGAGTTACAGTATAGCGTATAAAAATGATTGGGGTTCTTTGGGTTTGGGGTTTTCATTTTTTATTTTTTTTTACTATTGCATAGTACACAAACACCATTCTTGTTTTATTTTTCTGTCATCAGGGACGAATTACCAAAGTTTTAAATATGAAGCCAGTGGAGGTAAGAAATTTGCGGGAGTTTTTTGTCTGAAGTTTTACTGATTTTTGAATGACAAATATTAATATTGGGGTGGGGGGAATTAAAAAAAAAATGTGTCAGAGGTAGATAGTAGTTTCTTCTAACATAAGAAACATCAAATTTTTGTTGCTTTGCTTTATTTTAGATTTTGGCTATGATTGAAGAAGCAGCTGGTACTAGAATGTATGAATGCAAGAAACTAAATGTCCAGAAAACCATACAGAAGAAGGAGATCAAACTGAAACAGATTGAAACGGTACTATGTGTTAGAAAGTATACTTTCTTATATATTTGTTAAAGATAACTAAATATCTGTAGTGTGGTTTTTAACTTGCAGAATATTTCATTTCTGCACTGGGAACTAGGTGTTCATGCTTAGACATATAAGAGTTTTTAAAATCTGAATATAAATGTTCTGTTTTGTGTTTCAGGCCTTAAATGAGGAGATCACTCCAGCTTTACAAAAACTGAAAAAGGTATGGAAAAATTAGAAGAGTGGTCGGGCCCTTAAAGTGCTGAAAAATTACTTTCAGCTACCCAGAACCAGTATGTGGTGGCTAAAACAATAGCTTGTTTTCAAGCTTTGTAGAATCTTTTAAGAGAGAGAAAAATTTCATCTTCTGTTCAAATACAGAAAATGTGATGGTCAGGACTTCCAGGAAATCCTAGAGGGGAATGCATGGAAAAGGAAAAAAAAATAAGAGACCTAGATAAAAGTAGAATATAAAAACATATTTCAGTTCTTACAAAGTTTGTGCCAAGTGATATTTCTGCTGTACAATCAGTTGTAGAAGTATTATTATCTTTGATTTTCCTAAGCAGGCCTGTAATGTATTACTGAATATGACAAATCCTTCCTCTTATCTACAAATAATAATTTTAGTAGAACTGCTTAAAAGTTAACAGTCCTACTTAATATTACTTTTCCATCAAATTTTAAAAGTTTTTTTAATTGGTATCTTTTCAGGAAAGATTATCCTATCTAGAATACCAGAAAGTAGTGCAACAATTAGAACGTGTAGACCGCACCTATATAGCTTATCAATTTTTTCTGGCTGAAGAGACAAAGGCATCTGCTGCTAATAAGTTAAAGAAATTTCAGACTAGTGTAAAGAACCTTCAGGAATCAATGGCTGAAAATGAAAAGGTGATGACAAAACTTAATGAAGAAGTAGAGGAGATGGAAAAGAAAAGGCAAATGGTAAGTGAGCACAGAGTTGTGCTTGTCTGAATATCTAAATACAAAAAGTTACTTCAGAAAAAGATTATTTCTGCAGATAATATATCCTTGAATTTTTATCTTCTTCTGGTGGGTTGTTTAGATTATACACTGTTCTCATTCTTCATTGTCTAAAAGACATCCATTTAAAGCTTTCATTTGTCTGAAATACTTCCAATTGCTGAAAAAGAATAATAACTGAAGAATGGAAGCTGTTTGCCCTCATGTTTCCACTCTATGCATTCAATGGTAAATTTTGCTGGATTTTTTTTTCTCCCTTTTTGTTGATGTCTCAAAAGAAATACACTTCAAGTAGGAAACTCTTGTTCAACAAAACTCATTACTGACCTCAATTTTCATGGCAGTAAATTTGGTTAGGTACAGGATGGTCCAGAGGGTCTTTGAATGCCTAAATGCAGCTGTTGTACAGGGACAGTGTCTCATGATATGGGATGATGTGGGTCTTAAGTAGTGGCTCCTAGTTAGTTTGGATTTCAGAGGGGAGAGATGTTTTGACCTGTTTGCGCTGAAGTCTAACTGCCTGCTTGATCAGATACTTATCTGTTCTACATATAGCTGTCAACAGAAGATGAAATAATTACAAGTACTCTTAACAGTTTCTTAGGTTAAATTAAATTTTCTTTAATTCTGATTGTAGAAAGTTGGTGGTATGCTCCCTTCACTGGAAGAGGCTCTTTCAGAAAGTCAAAGAGCTAATACTAGAGCACAAAGTACCCTTGATCTCATCAAGCAGAACTTAAAAAGTGAAGAGATTAAGTACAAAAATATGTTAGAAGGTATGCAGGAGGTAAGACCTTTGTATATAATTTTCTTTAAACACTAAATTAATGCAGATTGAGGGGGACAGCTGTTTGTTCTTACCTATTGCAATAAGAAAAAATCCTGTGATTGGCAAGAATTACATCAAGAAAGCAGAAGCAAATGGTAAGGGTATTGTTTGATTTATGTGACATAGGTAGTAGGTTCCCATTAGAACCAATGTGATGCATATACAAAAAAAGCGCAGCTCCTTATGGTTACCAACCTTGTATTAAGCTCAGGAGAGATCCCTATAGCTTCAAAAGTATTATGCTCTCTGGACATGTGGTATTCTTAAAATTAAAGAAAAAATTTCTACATTGTGTGTTTATGACAGTTGATTTTTTTAATTTTTTTTTTTAAATGCAAGAGGAGCACTGAAGAAGACTTTACTTTTTAGGTACTGGGGAGAAAGAGCTGTTTCTCCTAGCTCTTGGGCAATTGTTATCTCTTCCTATATTTAATCGTTCTGTAGGCCCTCAGTGCTCTCACGGGGCAAGTACAGACTTCAAAACATGCAAAGTCAAATTGTACGATCACAAAATCTGACAAAGGGTCAGCTGATGAAACTACTCATAGCTGCTCATCTAAACAACATGAATTTAAAGTTAATGGGACTCAGGTTCTCTCTAACTTTTTTTTTATTCTTTGTTTTGCTGAAGGAGTCTAAATTACTAATATCAAAGGAGGAAGAAATAAAGAAGACAGAGGAAGAACTAAATGCTTTACAGGAAGCAAGTAGAAAAGATGCAGCTGCTTTAGCTGTGGCACAACACCATTTTAATGCTGTGTCTGCTGGCTTGTCGAGCAGTGATGATGGGGAAGAAGCTACTCTTGCTCACCAAATGATGACCTGCAAAAATGAAATCAGCAAAGCAGAAACAGAGGCTAAACAGGTAAAAAGAAAAGTTCTGCCTGTCTCAGACCAGCCTTCCTGCTGCTTTTGAAAATTGTCTGAAAACTGAATGACATGCTCTTGAAAGGTCACTGAAAAGATTTGCAGAATGTCTGTGCAAGATATTTTAGAAGTTGGTATATGCATTAAGGTGACTTTTGATGAAACGGGTCATTTAAAAAATATCTTTGCATAGATGCAAATAAGGAAAAGCTGTAACATGGCTGTGAGGAAGTATAGAAAGTGGCGTTTGAGACATAAAGGAGAACTTGCAGTACTCAAATGACTGACGGCATTGAATAGAAGGAAATTAAGACTGGTATCAATGATAAGCATTCATACTGCAGGGATTTCTACAGTAAAACAATGGAATCAAAATAAAGATGCCTGAGACTATGAAAGGCGAGTTCAGAAGAAACTGTGGGTTTTTTCTCAGTTAAATTGTGTACATAACAGAAACAAATGCCACTTTTGTCTTAAGACAGGGAAACCTCTGCTGGGGTTTTTCTCACAGTGGAATTTAAATTTGTGAAGTTGCAGATGCACCTTGCTTGTCTCACTTAAGGAAAAACTTGGGAAGAATAACAAGGACAGCTGTATCCCACATTATTTTACCTTGTTTCTTCTCAGACTCTGTTCATGTGCTAATAGGAGTTATCCAAATATGTGATTTATGTTTTTATTTCCAAATCACCTGTGCCCTTACTTTAAAAAACAAGGCTGCTTTTTGGCATTTCTTTTACCAGTGGAAACTCTTACAAAATGTACAAGCACCTTGTTAGTGCAGGTGTTTTAAATGCACTTACAAGATTCTCTTTGAATATCTTCTGGTTCCGTATTTTCTTACTCCTTACAGGCTCAAATGAAGTTGACATATGCACAAAAGGAATTAAAGACAAAAGAAGTTGAACTTAAAAAGAAGGATGGAGGCTTTGAGAGAGACCAAATAGCACTTAGAGCTGTCAGAGAAACAAAAGCAAATCTAGAGAACAAAATGCAGAAGCTGAACTACGAAGGTCTGTACAGACTTCTGGTGTATAATTTTGGGGGAATCTGAAAAGGAATCTAGAAGTATGGTGGGTTGACCTTGGCTGTACACCACTCTGTCACTCTCCTCCTCAGCTGGACAGGGGAGAGAAAATAGTATGAAAGGCTCACAGGTTGAGATAAGGCCAGGGAGATCACTCACCAATTACTGTCATGGGAAAAATTGTGTCAACATGGGGAAATGAATTTTATTACCAAACAAAACAGAGTAGGATAATGAGAAATAGGAACAAACCTCTAAAACACCTTCCACCCACCCCTCCCTTCTTTCTAGGCTCAATTCCTGATTTTCTTTATGTCTTCTCTCTGCCAGTGGTGCAGGGGAACAGGGAATGGGGCTTGTGGTCAGATCACCTCAGCTTATCTCTGCTTCTCCTTTCTTCTCACACTGTTCCCCTGCTCCAGCACGAGGTCTCATCCACGGAAGACCTTCCCACAGGCTGCAGCTCTTCTTGACCTGCCCCAGCGTGGGTCCCTTCCCCGGGGTGCAGTCCCTCAGGAACAGGCTGCTCCAGCGTGGGTCCCCCACGGGGTCACAGCTCCTGCCAGCAAACCCGCTCCAGCCTGGGCTCCTCTCTCCATGGGGCCGCAGGGCCTGCCAGGAGCCTGCTCCAGCACGGGCTTCCCGCGGGGTCACAGCCTCCTTCGGGCACATCCCCCTGCTCCGGGGTGGGCTCCTCCCCGGGCTGCAGGTGGAGATCTGCTCCCCCATGGACCTCCCTGGGCGCAGGGCACAGCTGCCTCACCACGGCCTGCGCCGCGGGCTGCGGGGGAATCCTGCTCTGCCTCCTGGAGCACCTCCTCGCCCTCCTTCTGCACTGATCTTGGTGTCCGCAAAGCTGTTCTCACATATTCTCACTCCTCTCTCTGGCTGCTGCACAGTGATTTTTACCTTCTCTTAAATATGTGATCACAGGGGTGATCAACCAATGTTGCTGATGGGCTTGGCTTTGGCCAGCGGTGGGTCCATCTTGGAGCCAGCTGGCATTGGCTCTGTTGGACACAGAAGCAAAGAAAACCAAGATTTACTCTCTCATACCCATTGGCAGGCAACATCCAGCTGCTTGGGAAGTAGGGCCTCAGTGTGCGTAGCAGCTGTTCTGGAAGACAAATGCCTTAGTAATGAATGTTCCCTTCTCTCCTGCTTTATCTTGGCTTTTGTGGCAGACTGTGCCTTCATATGGTATGGAGTATCACTTAGCCCAGCTGTTTCGAGTATGTCCCCTCCCAGCTTCTTGCCTATCCCCAGCTTGCTGGCCTTTGGATGGTGAGTTTGAGAGGCAGCCTTGATGCTGTGGGAGCACTGCTCAGCCAAAACACTGATGTGATATCAGCACTTTTCTACTAGAAATACAAAGCACGTTATTATGAGGGCTGCTGTGGCAAAAGTGAACTCTGTCCTAGCCAAACCCAATACAAGATGGAACTGAAAAACCAATTATGCTGGTTTTATGCACAAAGGAATTTCTCTGGTCAAAGCTCTGCAAGCACTTGCTTTCCACAGAAAACAGTTTAAAATAATTTTATTTTATAAACTTTAGGCCAAATATTTTATAGTTTGTTGGAAAATTTAGATTCCATTGAGAATTTAGATGGATAAAGTGTCCAACCTCCTTATTCCTTCCTCTGGCTTTCCCTACCCAAAACACTTCTTAAAGTTTGTTTCTCATTCCAGGTAACATTTGCTGCAGAAGCTACTCAACACTAAATTGGTATTCCAGAATTACATTTAGAGAAATTATATTAGACTTTATTTTCACGTTTGGTATGGTGATGGTATTAGTTTGTCTATCAGTAAATTTACCAGGAATTTTAGAACGTCTCTCCATTAAGTATTCTCTACATATATGTAGATAAATAATGTAGCATACCAGTTTTTAAGTTAAGAGATTTCTGTGCTCTGAATGTTTGTCTGCTGCTTGTGTTCAACTCTTAAGAAGAGAAAGAAAAAGACGTTTTAGCAAAACAAGTGGCATTGGCTCGTGACATCAGCCAGCTGAGAGAACTGCATGAAGACTTAATGGCAAGGTTTCCTCACCTACGGTTTGAATACAGGTAAGATCTTGGTGTGATCCTAAAAAACATTTTAAAGTGTATTTTAGGGCATTTTACATGTAGCTTATGGGATTTACAGGATAATTCCATCAGTTGCTTAGCTATTGCTTTCTTTTGGTGCCAGTGAAGGGGGAATGTTAACTGACATGTTAGCTGAATTAATGGGCAGCATGAGAAGTTACACGTTCTTAATTTACAGCCTTGTCAAAATCACAAGGATGTAAAAGTTTTTTTGTGATGCTGTTTTCAAGCCATTACTCAACTTCAGTAGCTAAAACCATAGAATCAAAAGGTCTAAACTATAAAAATATTTAGTCATTACTTTTCAGAGTACTGCCTAAGGACTGTGAGTAGACTAGGTCTGTGGAGGTCAACACTGTATCTGTCTCCACCACTCAAATATATGTATTCCCAGATTTATTTGCTTGTGTAATTATCAGTCTGAATACACTCTTATAGCTGTGCTAATAATAGAACCCATAGTAAAAATAAATTGAAAATCGTATAAACAAATTATATGACAATCAGGAAGGCTATTCTTCTAATGGCTTTGGAACTGACTGTTGTGAAGTATTTAATTTAACCATTTTCTGTGTTGTGTTTTTTTTTCCCAATTGAATTTAGAATTTCTAATACCAGTATAATAAGCAGTATGAGTTTTTAAAATATAAAATGTTCAATATATGTGGGAGAGAAACAAATATGTGATTATCGTAATTTAAATTTATTTTAAGATGTGTTGGGAAAACATGGAATCCACACTCCGTGAAAGGCCTTGTTGTGTCTCTTGTCACTGTGAAGGATCTATCCAAAGCAAAAGCCCTAGAAGTGACAGCTGGAGGGAAACTCTATAACATTATTGTGGACACAGAGGTATGTTTATGTCCTGGGTTCAGCTGGGCTAGAGTTAATTCTCTTCCTAGTAGCTGGTACAGTGCTGGTTTGGATTTAGTGTGAGAATAATGTTGATACCACACTGGTGCTTTAGTTGTTGCGAAGTAGCACTGATCCAGAGTTAAAGATTTTTCAGTTTCCCATGCTCTGCCAGCAAGCAGGTTCACAAGAAGCTGGGAGGCAGCATGGCCAGGACAGCTGAACTAGCCAAAGGGCTATTCCATACCACAAAACATCATGCTCAGCATATAAACTGGGGGGAGTTGGCTGGGAGGGGTTAATCGCTGCTCAGACATCAGCCAGCAGGTGGTGAGAAATTGCACTGTGCACCACTTGTCTTTTCCTGGGGTTTATTTCTCTCTTTTTGTTCTTTTTTTTTTTTTTTGATATTATCATTGGTATTATCATATTCTAGTATTACTGTTGTTAATTATGTTTTACTTTAGTTATTAAACTCATCTCAATCTGCAAGGTTTACTCTTCCAATTCTCCCCATCCCACTGGGAGAGGGGAAGAGTGAGTGAGGTGCTTAGTTGCTGGCCAGGATTAAACCATGATAGTTATTACTTTAATACAGAACTGTTAATGTTGAGATAAGGTCTTGTAATTCAGGGCTAGTGAACATGTGCGTTGATGAATGCCTAAGAGGCGGTTTGGACCCATGTATGTGTTTAAATTACATCAAGAGAGTCATGCTTAATTACTGGAACTATATTCCTCTTGCAATGCCTTATTGTTTTACTTTACAAAATAAGTTATGTATTCAGGTATGCTTTGTAACTCTTCTCATTTGAGGTTACTGCCAAAAAGCTTTTAGAAGAGGGTGAACTAAAGCGTCGATACACCATCATTCCACTAAACAAAATTTCAGCCAGGTGTGTTGGACTAAAAACAATCGAGTTGGCCCAAACCTTGGTATGTAAATAAATAAGCTGTTTACACTATTTTGTTTGCATACCTTTTCCATTTTGTTTCTTTTCTAAAAACATGGGCTTCTTAACTGTCATATTAATAAAAATTTCTATAGGGTTTGAGGTTATCTTGATTTAAGTTTTTTCCTTTGTATCCTTTCAGCTATGCAATGTTTAAATGGATATTCATTATTCCACTTTTAACTGAAATTGTTTTTTAAATATAATGGTGTTTTTAGAAAGTGTTTTTATCAAGATGAGAGAAATGAAATTGAAAATTCTTATAACTTACGGCATACTATTTGCATTTCATTTGATTTATAGGTTGGTCCTGATAACGTGTATTTAGGCCTTTCTCTGATTGAATATGAATCTGAACTGCAGAAAGCAATGGAGTATGTCTTTGGGACAACACTGATCTGTGATAACCTGGATAATGCTAAGAAAGTGGCCTTTGACAAAAGGATAATGATGAGAAGTGTTACATTTGATGGAGATGTGTTTGATCCTCAAGGCACTCTTCATGGAGGCAATTGCTGATTTTGTTCATATTATAATATTGTGTGTCTGTTGACTTGTTTGCTGCTCTGCATGTTTTTTATAAAAATCACCGGTAACCTTTCTGTTTAGACTCATACTGGGTATAATATCTGTTTGAGCGGAGATTTGTCACTCTTGAACTGAAATGATTGATTAGACTAAGACAAAATATATGGCAAACTATTTGCCTGAAGTAGTTTTGATTTTAAATACTTAAATCTTACTTGGCTATATAATCCTCTCGGAAAGAGAAATGCTTTGAATTCAGGCACTTTTTGAAGTAGTTCATAATTAATTTGAGATAATTTCATAAATTATGAAAAGTAAGTTGATTTCACAAGAAATGCATGTGCAGTATTCAAAGTCTGCAGAACTAAATTCCATAGAAGAGAATGTAGTTTTCTCTGCTGAGAACTGCTCTAACTTTAGCCTAGCTGCCTTTATGTTTTGAAACCAAAATGAATCATACATGCATCATTATTAACATTAGGAATTTGTTCTTTGCTAGTGGTGAATCCATGTGTCTAATTCCAATTAGCTTGACTTTGCTTTTTTTTTCACTGAACAGGTGCATCCTCACATATTCTACCAATATTGTGTAAAGTTCAAGAAATGAAAAATATTGACATAGAACTCAAAACAAAGGAATCTGAACTTGAAACTGTAGAGAATGACCTGGCAAGCTTGAGGAATATTGCTGAAAAGTAAGGTTTTCCCTATAAAATGTCAATCGTTTCTCTTATACGACTGAGTAAACGTAATATAGAGAAGTATTTTTGGAGGTCATAGGGTCTGTTGAGAAAGTAATATGCAGAAAATTGTTCCTTTCCTCCTGCTCACCCTCCAATTTAATTTGTAAGTACAGCAATCAACAAGCAAATTTTTTTAGATAACACATGCAAGAAAAATTTGTTTGGGATAATATAGGGAAAAAAATGGCATACAATGATGTCTACTTGAAATCACTTGAAGTTTTCCAAAGTTTCATGAAGTCTACTGAAGAATGGGTCTGTTCCAGCCATATTTTGTAACACTCATACAGAATTTTCAGTTCTTAAGAGCTCTGATTTTTCTTCCAAGAAAATATAGATACTAAAGGGGAATATCTGAGTGATACTCCTGTAAGGATCCATGTTCTATGTTTGATTTTCAACTAGTCATTTATTGAAGATCTTTTTAGAAGATGGAATATAAAAACATGTTTAGTCAGTTCTGTAAAACCCTATAAGGAGATAGTGTTGTGTAATATGCTATCTACCAGCTGGATTTTTTTTTTCAAATTGTTTTGAGTTGCAATAGACTTCCAGAAATATAACCAAAAGGAAGAAATTAGTTTTGCTTTTAGACACCTTTTCTTTAATGCTTTAGGCTACCATCTGTCATGCTGCTGCTTGGAAAAACATGAGCTCTGAATTGTTGTCAAATCCCATGTGTTGGATCTGTTTCCTTTTAATATATCTTATCAGGGCTACATAGCCAGGAGTTACATATATCACAACTTCCATACCTACAAGTTTCACAATTACTGTTAAAGAAATTATATCATATTTCCATGCATTTAAGCTTATTTCTCCTACAGTCATTATTCTATCCCACATTAGAATGGGAATATAGGTATTTATCTACTTATTTCTATATGTAAGTATTCCAACTTTGAAACTGAAGTGCTGGGTACTCTTCATTACAGCAATGTATATCATTACTGTCTTCAAAGGTATTGGCAACTGAAACAGGAGTGGGATATTAAATCTGAGGAAGCAGAGCTGTTGCAAATGAAGCTTCATCAAAGTGCTTATCACAAACAAGAGGAAGAGCTGCTTGCCCTGAAGAAAACCATTGGTGACAAATGTGTTCTTAATCTTTTAATTGAAAACTAATTGTGAGAATGAGATAGATATTTGGCTGTTTGAGTAGCAGAATCTTTGCTTAAGCTTAAGAAAAAAAAGGTATTTTTGAAGCAAAAAATAATCTTTATATTTTGGAATATGTTACAGAATCACAATAGACTTGCACCGAGGTGATTCACATGAGGTTGGTCACTCTGTTGTAGTAAAGGTTATATTCTTAAGTGGTTTATGTACTTTATAATAAAAGGAAATATGGCTTTGCAGGGAAGTTGTAAAGTTTTTAATCCCCTATTTGAGTAATCTTTTTTTTTCCAAGCCATCTGTTTCTGGAGATATTTAAAGTAACAAGAAAGCATTGGAAAGAATTACTGTTTGTATAGCTAAGGAAAAATGTAAAAGGAAGCAAATGCAGCAATTAAGTAAAACATCTAAAGAAAAAGGATGGACAGGAGTGATACATATGTAGAAACAGTATTCTAGGATGAAGTGATGCCTCATTAGGTAGCCATGTGATTAATTACTTCTTGATCATGTGATTTGGCATATACTTGTCAAAAAAAGAAAACAGGCATATTGTCATTAATTTTAATGACTGGTTGCCTATTTGATGCCCTACCAATACTGATAACAACAGCACACTGTCTTTGTGTAATCATTGAAATAGCTGACTTCATTAACTATCAAATGTACAACCACTTTTTTCTGTTAGAGGCAAAGACAGATCTAGTTCAGTTGGAGTTCAGGATGTGAATTTAAAGATGAGAATAATACCCAATCTCAATACTGTACTTCTTGATTCAGCGGAGTGTGAAGAGACATTACAGAAAACTAAAGACACCCAAAAGAAATCAGAAGAGAAATACGAAGTATTAGAGAATAAAATGAAAAATGCAGAAGCAGAACGTGAAAAAGAACTAAAAAGTGCCCAGCAAAAACTAGATGATGCCAGGAAAAAAGCAGATGCTTCAAACAAAAAAATGAAAAAAAAGCAGCAGGTAAAACTTAACCTTTGTTGACAATTTGTCAATGTCAAAAGTGGTTGCGGTAATTGGAAAGTTTGTCCTGAAGTTTTAATACGTCAGTTTTGGAACTTAATATATTACTCTGTAGTCACTGACATAAATTGCTGGGTTTTGGTTTTTTTTTCCTTTGGGTGAGATTGCCCTTTTGCTGAAGAACCGCATTTACTATGTCAAACTGAACCTTAATTCTTCTATTTAAGTATAACTAATAAATTTTAAAACCTCTCTAGGAAGTTGAAGCTTTAGTTCTGGAACTTCAAGAGCTAAAAGTAGAACAAGCCTCTCGTGAACAACTAATGGAGGCTACACAGAAAGCAATCCAATTATACCAGAGTGAAGTTAATGCAATGCAAGCTGAGGTGTTGAAGACAAAGGTAAAAGTGAATACTGTGTTTCATTATCTGTTTTAATGTTACTGAAGTTATGATTCCCTAAAATTCAAATTATAATATGTATTTTGTTGCTTGGATTTTCTTGCCAGCACTCAATTATCTTTAGCCTGGGTAGTTATTTTTTGGCTTCATTACCACATGTGAATTTTTTTCTCCTTCTTTGTTCATTCCATTGTTCCTTCCTTGTTCTTTCCTCCTTCCATTCTCTTCTAGTGACTGTCTATCACTAGCCTTAAAAGAAGCTAATAAATGGCTGTTTGATTTGCTTTTCAGGAATCTGTAGAGAAATCGCAGAAGGAACTGGCCAAGCAAAAGGAAGTAATTTTGTCACACGATAAAGCAGTTAAAGCCAGAGCTGAAGAGATAGTAAAATACAAAGAAAAAAATAATGAATTACATCTTAAGCTTAAAGAATTAGAACACAACATTAGCAAATATCAACAAGAGACTGCTGATGTTACTACCAAGGTATTTCAGAACTGTGCTTTTCCTTGCATCTTGTGACTAAGACTGGTTATTTCCCTTGCTGCATGCAAAAGAAATAGCTTTTTTTTTTTTTTTCTTAAGAAGCACTGTCATATTTGCAGCCTTAGGAGGAGGGAGTAGAAACTGTAATAGAGCTTATCAGTGTGGACTAATAGAGTAGATCACAGTGAGAAGGTGATCAGTGTGAACATTCTGAATGTATGGCCAAATTAGGTAACTAATTAAAGAAGCTAATCCCAAAATTTAGTGAGAGTGACTTAATCCAGATACAAAAAAAATGTTCCAAGTAAACGTTATGGGTATATATGAAAGCTTCCTTAAAATCTTGGTTTGTCTAAAGTCTTGGAAATCACATGAAGCATTGTAAAGTTACGCACCTGTGATGCATCAGGATAGAAGAGTTAATGTTGTAATTTTAGGAATTTGATACTTCTTAAAAATTATTTAATTCGCATTTGAGAGGGGGAGGGGGGAAAAAAAAAGCGCCTCAATATATCTTCTTGTTTACAGGTGACCAAAATGCTGCAAGAGTATAAGTGGATAGCTTCAGAGAAATCACTTTTTGGTCAGCCAAACACACCCTATGACTTCAAAACTAACAGTCCTCAAGAATTATATCAGAAACTGCAGACACTGCAGGAACAAAAACGGGTGTTGGAAAGGACTGTAAACATCAAAGCTATGAATATGTTTTCTGATACAGAGGAGAAGGTAAATATTCTGTGCTTTAGCAGATGAAGACTGGGCAGGGTGGGTATATGGTATTATGTATGACATAGCTTTATATTTGCATATGCTTATTTCTGAATATATCAAAAATTAAGTCTTCGTGAGATAGGAGGAAATGTTTTGTTAGATCTTTGATACTAATTTTACATTTTTGCACTATTTCCTTGTGCACTAGTTTTATAGGATATGCATAATCTTGACTTTGGATGGTAAAAAGAATCATTTAATTCCTCCTTATACTAGTCCATCCTAAATTGGCAGCAGGAGCATTAGCAAGCTTTGTGGTATCCATTACACTATCTGAGAATTACATACTTTATTAAAAGTTTCAGATCAAAAAACTGTCCATCTTCAAGTATGATAGCTTGAAGATGTTCTAGGGTTGTCTCTGTATCTTGTGGCTATTCAAGGATTGTCTCAAAACTGTCCACTGACTGACACTTTAACTTCCTCTGGTGCTGTTGCGTGATTCGAATTGGCCTGTTCTTCCTATCAGCCTCCAGAAGCATCCTTTCTTACATGGAAAAGCAAATGAAACATGATTAACTTAAAAAGGATGTGCAACTTTCAGAGTAATGTTGGTCTTCCCCTTTGCTGGTTGTTAAAAAGTCTAATGCTTTAATATCCTGTATACAGCTAAATGAATGCTTTGGATTTCAATCTTGTGGTTAATGGCTACTTCATAGGTACAAAAATGATGAACAGTGAAACTGCAAGATTAGCACAAAAGGTATTTGAGCGCAAAGTTCATTGAAATTGATCTTTTCTTCTTGTTGCACCAGTACAATGAGTTAATGAAGAAAAAAAGAATTGTAGAGAATGACAAGTTAAAAATTCTTGCAGCTATTGAAGACCTTGACCAGAGGAAAATTAAAGCTTTACATATGGCTTGGGAAAAGGTATGACACTTGAAATCTAATCTTTGCATTTTAGCAGAGGATCAGAGTTATCTTAGATTACTATTTTGCTTATTGCCATGGGAAAATAAAACCCACAACTATCTCTCTCCAGAACTAATCTCCCTTGCCTACCATTTAAATTACAAAACAGCCACTTCATTTCTCCTGTTTGATCTCACTTTTGAGAATAAGATATGAATTCTCTGAAAATTGTAAAGATACAGTTAAACCTGCAAAACTACTTTACCATTCCCTTTTACTGCCCACGAAAATTTAAGGGAGGTTAAGATGCTGGCATGCTGAAACCACTGTCTCTCACATGGAAGTTGGACATAACAGTGATACAGTCAATTGTTGTTTGTTTAAATCAGTATTTGAAGAGTTAAAATCTAGTTCGGTGTGGCCCCATACAACGTGGGGCTGTGGACCTGGGCTGCTGATCCTGTCACTGATAGGATAGGTAATACTGGAATTAGAGCAACAGCTAATTTTATGTTTGTTACCTAAGCACTTAGCCTTCCACTAGTTGTCTCACATCATGAACTGTAGCAGAAGTAAAAGTTTTCCATTTCTATATGGAAACCTCTTGACACATTCTTTTCTGCTGTACCAGGAGAACTTGTATTTTTTGGCCTTTCAGAGGCCAGAAGACTAAATTGCTCACAAATGAAGTACCGCTTTTAATTACTACTGCCTGACTCAGGATATCACTGACAAAATGGTACCTTTTTGTTAGAAAATCTTGTTTGGCAAAAATTAGTGAATTGTATTTAAAAGCATCATGAGTGGTGAATAAGTGTGTTCTCAGATTCCTTTACCTAGGAAATTTTTATCTACATTTACAAAGTTGCATCCTGGACATTGCTTAAATAATCCTGGGAAGAAAAGGAGTGGGGAGGATGCCAGTGTGTGCCTCTTACGAGGTGCTTATACATTTAATAGTCTTTTAATTGTAAGATATCACAATTTACTGGTTAATAAATCTGAGATAGGGTATAACCATTTCACTGGCTGATGACATAAAGAAGCCTGCCAATATTTCTTTCATCCGATCCTTCTAAAATGCTTAGTATAAGGTGTCCTATACACAAATCTCCCTCCCTCTCCCTCCCTCCCCCC